TTGGGGTGATTGGCTCTCCGAGGTGTTGTGCGGGAAAGTAGACGCACGAGCTTTTTTTAGAGTGATGTTGGTCGACCGGAACTTTGCTCTCCGAAAATGGCGACAGCGAGAAGCAAGGCTAGGACAGGCGATCTACACATGCGCTGAAGCTTAATGGGAAAAAAAGTTCCATTTCTTTTAATTGCGGCATCTGCTACAGATAAGTCCGGTCTTTGTTCGATTGATCCTTGCGGTTCACAGCTTCAGCCGTATTCTGATCTGACCTTAAACACCATATCCTGGTTACTGTTCGGAGCGTTTCTTTTAAAGGAGTATTTATTTGCAACCGTAAGCCAACTCTACAATGAGCAAACAATTGCCTTGCGAGTAGGTAAGCACTTGCACTTGCAAGTTGCAGATTAAAAAAAAAAAAAAATTATACTTTTTAGTTTTTGGTGCCCGAGTATACTCCCAGCAATAATGAGTGCCTTCTTTGAAACACAGCTCATCTCGAGGATTAAGTGGAACGATAAACGGATCCCCGATCCAACGAGCGAAAACTCCAACGCTTCAGGCGGGAGTGGGACGAGCGCAAGCACCCACCAAACCAACCATTTTCCTTAGAACTGGCAACTAAGTCTATAAGTGTGCCAACTGGCACACTTATAGACTCCGCAAATGATAGTTTGCTCTTATTTAGTTTTATGTTTCCCTTCTTTTGTAGATCGCATTGAGGCACCACCAGGCGTATACACGAGAAGCGTTCACGCAGGTGCGCGTATAAGTTTGTTTCTATATTTGTATTTTTTTTCTCGCAGTTAGGGGACAATAGGCTCTTCATAGAACTTTTTTTTTAACCACCCACAGTGGAAGAAAATGAAGGGAGACAAGAGCTCTCAACTTATAAAAAAAAGAACGAAAAAAAAAAAAAAAAGCGGAAGCTCGGTGGCCGACGGATCTCGAGAGACAGAAAGAGAGAGAGAGAGAGAGCCTCGGCGCCGAGTTCTTCGAGAAACAGTGCTTGTTCTCGTTGAGTACGGGAAACCAGTCTGGGAAAAGAAGTCCGAGTTTCCGAGTTTTCGAGATGTCACCCTCTCACCGTCTGCGGGTAGCTGTTTTCCTGTTGCCAGTCGTCCCGCAAATATATGCTTAGGCGATACGCTGCCTCGCGCGTGTGTGTGTTTGTGTGTGTGTTTTCTCGGGGGAGGGGGGGGGGGGGGGGGGGGAGGGAGGGAGGGAGACTAGACGAGTGTCTTCTTGCGGCACTCCGCTGGGATGGGCGCCTGTCGTTGTCGTTCACGCGCTACCCCCCCTTCGCCGCGTTTCAACTCGGAAGATTGCAGGGGAAATGGCGAAAAAAACCGTCCCTCTAGGACGTCTGGCTGCTTCTTGCGATGATGAGGGATACGGGCCTCCTCCTCGTAGGCGAACCGCTACCTAGCTGGCTTGGAAAGGTCGCACTGTCGTAACTCCTACCTTATGAAGTCGCTCGAACCAATCTTTAAAGAAATACGGCCTCCCACTAAACGAAAAAAAAAATTCTGCTCGAAGACGTGTAGATTACACCTTTGTTACCGGCCTTCGTAGCCAGCGATAACATCATTTTTATCAACTAGCCACGAAGGGAGGAGATGAATTGTCTCACATCGCACGCCTGCTACGATGGACGGCGTTCGCTATGAGACGTTGATTTTCGAAACATCTCCTACTAATTTGACATTGTCTCCGCCAAGCACTCGGCGAGGACAAAGGACAGTTTGCGGCAGTTCCCGCATACCTCCTGGATCGTGCCGACGGTGATCTTCCCCCGGATGTAGGACGGCCACGAGTGAGGCCGCGGTGAAATAACAAGTCTACGGACAATGGGATACATCACACTAATAGTTAGGGCCCGTCTCTCATTACTTTATTGTGCGTGCTCCGCGGCTACCCGCGCTCTGGCGTATAGCCCTCACTTGCTATGCCCAAGTGAGGTTCGACGCGAGCCGTTTCGTGCTTCGCTCGTGTTCGGCCCTTTCTTTGTTCGTGCATATTAGCTAGGGAATCATTTTTGATCGTTTCCACCCCAATTCAATTAATTTATTAATCCCTTATATGTCCACCAGGGCCTTTCAACAAGGGAGACATATGAACAAAAACAAAAAAAAAAGGAAAAAAAGCAAACAAAGAAAGGGTAATGCATAAGTGGAATTAGAAACCGTAAAAGATGGCAAGTGCATCCCGAAAATTTGAAATATAAAATATGGTTACCATATATTGAGGCTGATAATTTGTTCAAGTTGTTAGGTAGAAAGGTGCGAGTGAGAAATTTTAAAGCCATTGAATCTAGGAACCGGTGAAAGTTGTTTACAAGAGTTACCTAGGCGACCGAAGGTGTGAGGCGAGGGACTGCAGTTTAACTTCTTCTGCAAGGAAAAATAGCATAAAACTTACGCAGTATATTTAAGGCAAATACAATTATACTTTTTTTGTTTGTTTTTTTCAGAAGGAGGGAGGCAAAGTTAAGTTTAGGTGCTCTACCGCTAGCTCGAAATTTGGCAACGCTGGAATCGTGCTTCAGGAAATGTGATATTCGCGCACGCATGCGTAATGACTTCCGTGCATTTTATCTCGCATAATTAAGCTCTTCCGCGTTTTCCAAAAGATAAGCAGGGTTGCTAGCACCGGATCTGCAAAGCAGGGTACACGATGAATTAACGACGCGGTGATGTATGGTTCCATCTCGAGTTAAACGCGGTTGTCTCGAGTCACGTCACTTAGCCAAGGCGTAAAATAAAAACGTGACGGCAATTTCGGCCGCACCGTTCCCCTCCTCTTTCTCTCTCTTTCTTTCTGTTTCTTTCGTACCTTCTTTTCTGTTTTCGTTTTGCGTTTGCGTTGTTTGAGAGTATGGCCGCGTTAAACTTTTCGAAAACGACTTCTTACTTTACAAAACGGATTCCAGTATAAAAGGTAGTCGACACAAAAGACCTTTTTGAGCCGAAGTTTGAAAACTTTCGCGTTGCTTCCTTAATTCCGGCTTTCTTTCTTCTTCTGTCTTCGTATAGTCGGTACAAATCGACTCTAGCACACGCAAAATTTCGCTCACGCATGCACGCAGAGCACCCACATCTAGGAAAGACTTGCATCCCCCGCCTTCCTGCTCATTCCCCCGGAACCTAGCCGTCCCAGAAAAAAAAAAAAAAAAAAAGAAATCTAATGCAACGAGGAAGCGAACCAAAGATCCCCCGAATTTGTATTTCACATTCGGCGAAACGCGTTCGCCTTCCTTTTTTTTTTCTTCTTTGGGTCCTCTGTCCTGCGCGCTAGTATGTCAGGATATGCAAATGAGCGCTCGGAGCGTTGCTAAAAGCGCGCAGCACGAAGCTTTCGCCGGGGAAATTGGCCAAGACGTGCTGCCGGGGGGCCTCTCTGAGCGCGTCGGGGTCATTAGCCAAATGGGCCGCTGGCCTTTCCCTCACGCCATGCAGACCGCGGGGAGCAACCGCGCTGGCCGACACGTGTTGGGAAGCGGGCGCTGCAATTCTTCGATGGCTGTTCCGCGTAGTTCCCCACCGTCCTGTTTACGAAGCGCGATTGGCCAAAACCGAGTGTTACCATTAAAAGGCTTAACCTTAATGTTGCATACGTTACGTAGGCGTTAACTATTCTTTAAAGGGATACTGAACTGTGAAATCGGGTCGACGTTTTTGGTCTTAATCGCAAGAATGGCACGTCATTTAATTTTTACTGGCGCTGGTAAAGCGAAAATACCACGTAAATTTTAATAAACCGGAAAATAAGCATTTTAAGGTGCCCCTGGTGAGCGTCTCCGGAACCTCGCTTCGTGACGTCAAAGACCTCAGAGACCTCGCGCAGCTGCCTCAGGAGACGCGAAAAATCACAACTTAGTTGGTCTGCTGTCACCTGTGACCTGCCGCGTTTACCTCGAGCTCGGTGGCGTGGTTATGGCGACACGTGCGTGCGCCAAGAGCGGCAGCAGCAGCAGCAGTAGCTGCAGCGGGAGCGGGAGCGACGCAGTACCGTCGGATGAGGAGCGCGAGCACCTGCCAGCGAAGAGGCGTAAGGTGCTGCCTTACGCCTGCGACCCGTCCGCGACGTCGGACAGTAATGAAACTTCAACGGAGCCAGCAGCGGACTCCTCGCCAGACGCTCTGCCGCGAAGTGACAGGCGGCGGCTACTCAACACACGCTGGTAAGAACACGCGCACATGGCGCAGCGTATGTCTTGCATAGGCCCGGGAGAGCGATTGTTTTGGGGTTGCGCGAAGTTGACTTGCAGCCTCGATGAACCGATTGTTTTGGGGTTGCGCGAAGTTGACTTGTAGCCTCGAAGAACCGATGATAAATGGGGTTTTATATATTATGTTATCAGGTGTACTAGTGACTGACATGCTCTTGGTATCGCCGAGCGGCGGCGAGTAAGCTCCAACCTGAACTTATCGGCTCCATCGTTTGGGCTACAGAAAGATGCGCCTCCTTTTGCTAGAAACTGTCAGTGCTAAGGCAGGGCTACCCGTGCACCTGTCCCGCGAAGGCGCGTTAGAAATTGAAGATGCATCAGCTGCGTGCGGACTTGAACCTGCACGTAGTGCCGATACACCGTCGAAGTACTCACGTGCGCGCTGTACGTTTTTTTTTTGTTTTTTTTTTTTATTATGCACGTGTTTGCGCAATGCTGGGCCCCAGGTTGGGCACTCAGGCCTTTGTGGCATGGGCAGCACTGCTTTTTTGCGGCCCTCTATGCCTGGGTCAAAGATTCCGGAATATGAATAAAGTATTACTATATTATTATACGCAAAAATGTAGCTGCTGTATAGTGACTGCATCGTGGTTGTGGATACTCCCAAAAGGCATCTGAGGCTTGAGCAGTGTTTGGGCGACACAATTGGATTGAGAAAAGAGGCAAAGTGTGTAGCCACACCAGTGCCCACACAGCATTACAGAAATGTTGACATATGCACTAATTCATGTTTCTACCTTTGGGAAACAGGTGCTGCTGCGAATCCCGGTGTGGCACCATGTCCACACCAGTGGAAAGTGTGTGCTGCAAGGAGCAGTGCAAGGTCAAAGAGAAGGCTGGGAGCCTTCCCTGCATCACGGCACACAGGCTCTTCGAGCTGTACTGCCTGGACAGGGATATCCTGGACTTAGAGTACAGGAAGCTGAGAGTCTGCCGGCCTCTCAGCACAAGAAACATAAAGGAGATAAATGCGTACGTACAGTGAAACTAAATTACTATACTTTTTTACTATCATGTGCACCGCTTTGTAAATAAAGGGAGGATGCAAAGCGAGATTTGCATTAGATGAACCAGAAAAGGCAGTGCCTCAATGTTGGCAATTGAAGTTTCCGACACAGGCAGGTTTTTATTGGTGGCCTGAAAAACATACCCAAAATTTAGAAGCAAACCATTCATTACATGCTTGCTCGCTCGAATATGCATGTTTTAATGAAACTACAGCTTGTGGCGTCTTGCTGCTGGCCATCGAACTAAAAACAATGAATGCCTTCTAGTTCCAAGTGGATACCTGGCAGTGTAACTAAATAACTTTATTATGTTATCATTGCAGTAAGTACAGGTACACGGCATACTGCCAATTTGTTTGGTGGATACACGGAAGGCTCGGAAAGGAGAACCGGGTCACCTTGCCCAGCTGCGTGGTGACCAGGGTCCGCAAAGAGTTCCCCGCCCCGAACCCTGCAGACTACACGGGCTTCAAGCAGTCAAAGTGCTGAGTAAGTTTGCATGCTATCTACCTTCAAACCTCCTAATTATGTATCTTTTCCTACCAAGCACTTGGGAGCAACAGCTTGCACGAGCAGTACATAATTAATGTTAGAATGAAGAGATCAATATTTGACATATAAGAAACTCACTGTTTATTGCAAACTAACCAATTTTTTACTTTACAAACAATGTGTAACAACGATCACAGACTGGAGACGAGGAAATGGGCCAGAGACGTTTTGAAAAGGAGCTCATGGCAAGGAGCTAGTGGCCTGGGAGCGCATGGCCCAGGGCTTGTGCTCGGAACACATGAGATTGACACGTCAGATCGAACTGCTTTGTTGCTTGTGCATAGTGTAAATAAATGTTTGCATCAACGTAACCAACAATGACCACCAGAAGTTCATGCATTTTGTGCGGAAACCCGCTACGTAACGATTCGACGAAGGGAATCTGGTAGACCGAAGCAATACCTATCGAACGACAGAAGCAACGTTCCATCGAGACAAGACTGAAAGATCATGGACATCCTCAAGAAGAAACGGAAGACTCTGCAAACACAAGTAACTAAACTCCTCAGCGAGGCAAAAGAATTATTTCAGCTGACTCCAGCAGTCATCGATCACCTAGAGATTTTGATTGAGTGCATAAGCCTCTCTCGGGATCAACTCGGCCACGTAGATGCCGCGATCGAGCCTTTGATTACCGAAAGAGACGTGAAAATGGAGTTCACGCCAATCATAGATTATACTGACAAGATTGTCACATGCCTCACGAAGCTCAGAAAGAAGGCGAAGGGCGTGGAGAACAGCCAACGAGCAAGTGGTCCCTCGAACGATTGGAGAGCAACAGCCGTAGAAAGTCAAGCTTCCAAAATTAGAATTTATCAAGTTCAACGGCAACCGGAAGAATTGGCAAGCATTCTGGGAGTGAAACCACAATCCACGAGAATCCGGAACTGACTCCATCGAAAAAGTTCAATTACCTGAGATCAGCGCTTACCGGAGATGGATCAGCTGCCATCCGAAACTACAGCCAACCGCTCAATGCTATGCGGACGTGATCGACCTTCAACAGCAGCGGTTCGGCAAGCAAGAGACTCTGGTACACAACCACATGGAAAGTCTGATGGACATCCAGAAGGTACCACTACAGGGCAATGCCCGAACCCTGCGTCGTTTGTACGACAGTCTTCAGGCGCACATCTGGGGACTTGGAGCACTGGGTGTGGGCGAGGAATCCTACTGCGCCATGCTCTACTCGCTCCTACTGCGAGCACTACCGAAGGACATGTCCCTGGATTACAACCGGAAGATGTCGTTGGAGGACACCAAGAACGCCACCGCAGTGACGGGCACCAGTCCCGAGTCTCCAACAGAGAATGTTCATCTAAGAGCTCTACAGACTCTACTCAAATTTATTCGAGTTGAAGTCGAGAGCTGGGAAAGGACGTCAGAGGAACAAGAGGACGACTTTGGCGGTAAGCCTGCAATTCGTTTCCCTAAACAAGAACTGCCGAAGAAACTTTCAAACTACACAAACCTTCGAAACTCTACCGCAGCGGCCTTGTATGGCAAGACTGAAGGCTTAGAGTGTTAGTTCTGCAAATCCGAAGAACACGCCACACCTGACTGCAACGCCAATATTGAGCTCACTGAGAAAAAAAAAACAAAGATTACAGGCTGGCAACAGATGCTTTCGTTGCACAAAAGCAAACCACACGGCGAGAATGTGCCGAAGCACGCCGTGTTGCACCAGGTGTCAAGGATGGCATGCGCCTACTATGTGTGACCCGGATTACGTACTGGAACGACTTTTCGCGGTGAATAAAACAGAAAGCGAAGATAAAACACCGGTCAGTCTTCAGATCAATGAAAAGAACTGCAAGCCAGCAGTGTTCTTGCAGACGGTGACCGCATGGGCCGAGAACAAAAACAAAAGAAGACTATCCCGAATTCTTTTTGACAGCAGCAGTCAACGTTCCTTCATTACGGAGGAGCTGTCCCAGAGACTCGGTTGCAAACAACTCGGGATGGAGATCCTCACGTTCGGCGTGTTCAGAGGCGAAAGCACCGAACGTATTGTTTCGCAGGGTGCAGCTTACTTTGCGGGACCAACAGTACTACGAAAAATATGAAATCGACATGCTAGAAACACCTACCATCTGCGAACAAAATCTCCCGAGCCCAGATTAATCCATCGTCGCGACATTAAAGGAGCTCGGTTGCTTAGTAGGAGATGCCATGACCGGACTGGAACATCGGGGCATCGATATCCTGCTTGGCCCGGATCACTACTGGGAGTACATCATTGGAAAGATTCACCGACAGAGGAAGCTTGACTGCAGTGCAGCCCGTATTCGGATGGGCGGTTCAGGGACGAAAAGGGTCAAGCTCCCGGGTTATTAGTTGCTCCAGGGTGGTCATGCGGAGAACGGCGGTCCAAGAGCCCGAACCCATGCCAAGCCTCAAGCAATTCTGGGAACTTCAGAGGATGGGTGTCATCGACACATCGGTGGACGATCCTTCGGACAACGATGTCATGCGAGACTCCGAAACTATGATCGCCAAGACCATTGGGAGGTGCGAAGTCTGCCTTCCATAGAGGGCAGACATCAGGTTGGCAAATGACAAGGTTGCTGGAATGCCACAGAAGAACTGCAATGTGTGACATGGCACCACCTGCCGGGAAAGGAGAACCCCGCCGACCTCATGTCACGAGGTCTGACCACCTTGGATTGGTCTCCACTCCACTCTGTTGTTCGGGGACCAGTTGGTTGCCGCTGCCAGCTAAAGAATGGCCCAAGGAGAAGCGCGAGGAGCCACCTCGATATAAGCTCGAGGAGAGGGGACCGAGAGCTGACATATTGGACATTTCAACACCATCTGCAACGTTGCTTGATGTCACCGCATTCAGCTCAGCTTCAAAACTCAACAGAACAAGAGTGTGGATGTTTCGATTCCTTCACAACGTTAGGTCAACGGGAAAACAATCGGGGCCTCTGACTGCAGAGGAAATCCAAGGAGCGCGGACATATTGGCTAAAAGCTAATATCGGCGTTTGCCGCCAAGCTTCGACGTGCGACCAGCAGAACCGAGACCCCATCCACTTCTCTTCGAGACTTCAGTAGTTTCATCAACCAAGAGGTAGTGCTTCGCATAAGAGGGCGACTCCGATCGAACAACATGACATACGATGAACGAAACCCTATCGTACTACTGAAAGAGCATCGATATTCCACGGTACTTGTGATCGACGCTCACAGGATGGTGTTACATGCAGGAGTAAGACACACTCCAGTCCAGCTCCGCGAGAGGTATTGGATCCTTCGGGGTACGAGAGCTGGTGAAGAAGATGCTGCGCTGTGTGTAACGTGCCAGCGATTTAGTGCTATTCCGGCGAGTGCTCCAGCGGGACCTCTGCTGCGTACGAGAACGATGCAGGCTGAACCTTTCGAGGTAGTTGGTGTAGATTTTGCAGGACTGCTGTACATACAGGCAAAGGACGTCGTACATCACGCTGTTCACTTGTCCAGTGGCGCGGGTGGTCCACTTGGAGCTCGTACCAGACGTTTCAACGAGAAGTTTTCTTGTAGCTGCCCGTAAGTTTGTGTCATGGAGGGGACTTTGCCGCATCATCTACTCAAACAATGCGCTAACCTTCAAGCGAGCCTCCAGAGACCTGGCAGAACTTCGGAAGATCCTACGACACTCAGAAGTGGTGAATCACTTCGCCAATGCAACCATCGAGGGGAGTTTTATTGTTGAGCGTGCTCCTTGGTGGGGAGGATTCTACGAGCGACTGGTTTGATACGTGAAGGTGGGACTAAGAAAAGTGATCAGAAGAAAAACTATGAACGCAGCAGAAGAGTTGTCCACAGTCCTATGCGAAATTGAGGCGATGCTAAATTCTTGTCCCCCAACATTCGTTTACAATGAGCTTGACGAAGGCCAGCCGCTCACACCGACTAGCTTTTTCAGGGGAGGACGACTGACAGCACTTCCAGTGGCTGAAAGAGAAGACTTTGCGTCGTCTCCAGAGATGCTCCGAGAAATATGGAAACAAAGGAAAGCATTCTTTAACAGGCTCTGGGTAACGGGAGGTCAGACTACCCGAGAGAACTTCGATCTGCCCTTGAAACAAAAGGCCAGCAATCGCCACGTCTGGAGGTGGGCGGGCTCGTCCTTCTGAAGGAACAGCTCCCACGTTTACTCCGGAAGATAGGAAGAGTTGAAAAGGTTTTCTGTGGGCGAGACGGCAGGATTTTTGCATGTATAGTGCGCCCGGCCAGGGGCAGTCTTCTGAAAAGACCAACTTCTCTATCCGCTAGAGATAACAAATTTAAAATGGGGTAACACCCATTCGGTGGGGAGTCTGTACCAACAATCGGAGACCTAAGACGAGAAAATGGGCCACAGACGTTTTGAAATGGCGGCCGGGGGCTCGTGCTCGGAACAGATGCGATTGATGCTGCTTGTGCATAGTGTAAATAAATGTTTCAAGTTCCTGCACAATGTACTGTCAGGGAAAAATGATATGCAAACAGAGGAGCGCGTGGCTTGCGGTACAGGTTGCGCTGCCTGGAAGTGAGCCTAGGGGCGAAGGTGCGTGGCCTACTCCGATATGTTTATGCTCTCCGCTTGGCGCTCCCTAAGCTTCATCAGTGCGTCTCTTAGTGCACTGAAAGCTACCACCTCTATCTTTGCTCGCTCCGAGAGAGTGCGCGCTTTAGCTGCTACAAGCAGCAAGCTTCCTTGTGCCGCATGCGCCGAGTGAGCAAAGATAGTGGTGATAGCTTTCAGTGCACTAAGAGGCGGACTGCTGAAGCTTGGGGAGTGCCGAGCGAAGGGCGTAAACTCATCGGGTAGGCCATGCACCCTCGCCCCTAGGCTCGCTTCCAGGCGGCGCAGCTTGTACCGCAAGCCACGCGTTCTTCTGTTCGCATTTGATTTTTCCCCGACAGTACATGTTCCTTCAGCTTCAGCTTAGCAGTTGAACCGGGAACGGT